AAAGCAGAACATGCATAATTCAACAAATTCTACACGTACAATTCAGCGACATTGAGTACATTCTTTGAGTTATGCAACTATTCTCACCCTCCTTTTCTGATTTGTTCCTCACCCATTAACATAAACTCACTGCCCTCTAAGTTTCCTATCTAACCTTTCGAGTTGCTGTTGTCAATTTGATCCCATATAGATAGAGTTTAAAAGAGCACAATGCTCAAGGCAGATATTCTTTACTAGTTAAGCTAAACTATTTTTTGGTTTTAAGAAGACTTCAGGGGCCTGGCTAAGTACGGTTTTGCAAAATTAATAGATGAATGAATGAAATGTGAAGAAGCTCTGAATAATGGCCAAGTAACCAGAGAAAGACAGACTGAGGGAAGCTTTTGGAGAGGCATGAAATGGGAAGATCAAAAACATGAGGGAGGGTTGAAATTTTTTCTCAGGAATGAAACTGCTTGGACAAGTCTATTGAAATGATGCTAAATAAAAGACTGAGATTTGCAACAATCTAGGGAAATGGAGAATTCAGGGCAAGGAGTATTGTGGATCAAGTGATTTTAAGAGTGTTACATCTTGGATGTTCAGGGATCTGGCTATGTGTGAGAATATGACCACATTGGAAGAACCTGGCCATCCACCAGCTCTTTGCAAAGGCAGGAAACATGGCTGATCCAGCCACGGACAAAGGAGGGAGCTGCATTTACAGGAGCAATTTCTGAGAGGAGGCCAAGGGAGATTCCCACTCCTAGGCTGGGCAGCAGGAAGAGTCATCCATCTTATTAGGAACTTGGCACCAAGGCAAATGTCAACAGGAAGAGAAGACGGTCTCAGGCTGTGGTTCTCCAATGAGGCAGTTCTTTCTCTATTTGGCCAAGCTGGAGTTTAGGAATATATCTGTGGCCTCTGAGGAGGCATGAAATAAAGGTTAAGAAGACTGGAATCAGTCTTATGAAGGCCAAGCAGAGGAATGAGGCTGTGGGGGCTGAAAGGAGAAGCAGCCTGGGAAGAAGGAGAGGGCAACTGCTCTTTGGCCTGGCAGCCTAGATACAGGTCATGGCTCTCCCCAGGGGTTGTCAGGCCTTTCTCTGACTGTAGCCTTCAGAGTTCGTTTGCTTCCTTTGGATACATTTTGGTGTACTAATTTCCTTTAAAGAGCTCCCATGACCTGGTCCCACACTACCTCTCTGACTTCATCTCCTGTTACTGACTCCCTTCCTCACTTCTTTCCAACCACTCTGGCTTCCATATTATTCCTTGAATAGTCCAAGAACACCGTCTCCTCAGGGCCTTTACATTTACTATTTCCTTTGCCTGGAACACTCTTCCCCCAGATGTCCATATGGCTCACTCCTTCAGGTCTGTGCTCAAACCTCCCCTTCCCTGTGGGGCTGTCCTGGACCACGTATCTCTAATTGTAACCCCTCATGCAGTACTCCTCATTCTTCTTACTCTGCTATATTTTCCTCCATAACATAATCTGATATAATATTTGCTTGTTTGTTTGTTTTTATTTGTTTCCTTGAGAAGGTAAGCTTGGACATTGCAGGGACTTTTTTGTTCACTGCTATGTCCCCAGTGCTTAGAACAGTGTGTTGTACATGATAGACCCTCAACAAATATTTATTAAATAAATGAACCAATCAACACCTTTCTGCTGGGCCCTCCACTGATGGTCTGTGTCTGAAATTCCAGCTCTGCTACTTACTGGAGGTATCGTCTATGACAAATCACTGAACCTCGGTAGGCCTCTGTTTCCTTATTTGAAAAGAAATGTGTTGGATTCTTAAAGTCCCCTATGACAACAAATCAAGAAGGACATTTCTGGGGTTGGTGAGAAAGGTAAGGGACCTGATGCCCATGATTCTGTCACAGACCATCACTGACCATAAAGCCCTAGATGGTACTTCTGCTCCAAAACTAGAGCTGGGCAAAGGCAGAGGCACCAAACCTGTGACTGGAAGCTGAGAACCAGCCAGAAGACTGAGGTCAGGACTGATGACTAAAAACAAGTCTGGGATCAAGGGAGAGGGACTGGGAAGAACTGGGGCTGCTGCGTTTTATTTAAATCCCTGATAAGGATCAGGAAGCAGGTAACAACCCAATGACACATTAATTAGCTTTGCAGGTGATACTGGAACAGGAAGGTGTTACATCCACCCATCTCAGTGAGAGAGATAGGACAAAAGGACCTGGGAAGGAGTCAGGAACCAGGCTAGGAAATGACAACAATGAGCATCAGCTGTAGCCAAGAAGGGGAAGGACTAGTGTCCTCTTTAGGTGGGTTGTGGTGTGGGGTGGAGAGGACCCATTTTTCAGAATATAGATATCCAGTGGATTGCAGGAGTTGGGAGTGGTGGCGAGGACTGCAAAGTCCTCAGGCTGTTTTTGAATTGGCATACCAATCCCTGATGGAGACAGAGCCCTTCTTGCAACTGTGTTTGGAGGATGGGGAACGGGGACAAAGATAAGGGACAAGGAAAATAAATAACATGTATGGAACATCACAGTGAGCCAAGCACCATGCTAGGTGTCTTACATACGTTACCTCATTTGAAATCCACAACAGCAATATGATAACACAGGAGGAAACTAAGGTTCAGAGAGACTAAGAAACTGGTCTACAGTCACATTGCAAGAAAGTGGCAGAATTGAGATTCAGAGGTAATGATTACACAGCAGGTTAAGGGCCATTGAGGGAAAAGCCAGAGTAGCTGCTGGGTTATCAAACTGCCTCTTAATTTTCAGGACAGACCTGAGTAAGTAACAAGTGCCCTCAAAAAGGCTTTCCCTAGTACGCTGGGGCTGCATGGGTGCCAAAAGTTTTCTGTCTTCCTGCTCAGATTACCTGATATTCCTAAGCAGTGGGGACAAGGGAACAAGAAGGGATGGAAGACCTTTAGGCATCCAGACAACCTACAGGGGCCAAATGCCTAGGAGTAGAAAGTTCCAGAGGTCTTGCAGCCTGTAGCTGAGAAGAAGCCAAAGGGTTTGGAGGCCCTGTTTTGTTCTGGTCACTGATCTCTCTCCCTTGGGTGGGAGCAAGGTACTAATGGGTTCTGGGAGGGTGGCCACCCTTGGGGTGAGCCATCCCAGAGAATACAGATCCACAGACAAGGGCAAATTCCCCTGAGGAGGGTTTGATGTGTTCCCAGCCTCAGGGGCATCAGACATCTCTTTTCCTCAAAGGAGGTGAAAGGTGGAAGCATTCCTGAGATTATAACTAGGAACTCTGTTGGCAACCCAAAAGGGAACTCAAGTCTATTGTTGCAAGAAAAGAGGAGCTGTTTCTGATTGGGTCATGATGCCACTTTGAGAGACCCAGGGCAAATATGGCTGCAGGCCCTGGTTAGCCTTTTGGGGTGAACCAGCCTGAAGGACCAGTGATTATGCTTCATGCAAAATGAGTAGGGCCCAGAGAACAGCATTGGAGCAGTGATAGGATTGGAGGGTTGTGGAACCCTACAGATCCTCAGGAATGGGGTAAAGGGGAGACTGCAGGATGCCAGAGGCCCAGGGAAAACACCTTCTTTATCCAGTGACTTTGGGATCTAAGTGAACCAGAGACACCTTGAGAGCAAATACTGAGGGTGGGGAGGGTCTTACTGGAGGCAAGGCCAGGAAGCAGATTCCAAATCTGTTGCTGTGGAGTCGATTCCGACCCATAGCAACCCTATAAGACAGAGTAGAATTGCCCCATACGATTTATGGAAGCAGACTGCCACATCTTTTTTCCTCGGAGTGGCTGGTTGGTTTGAACCACCGACCTCTCGGTTAGCAGCCAAGCTCTTAACCACTGCACCAGCAGGGCTCCTTAGGAAGCAGATTAGGCAATATTAAAGAAACTAGGTCTAACTTTGACTCAGCCTAGAAATTATAAATTTTGTTGAGTAGTCAACACAATCTAGAACCTTATACTGATTCTTTTTTGTGTCTTGGTAGCCATATGCTATTTGCATTAGTTGTTTAGTGAAATTACTCATAAACATTTCTTCTAGTCATCTGCATGTTTGCCATAGGGGAATAAATAGTGTTTCCACACCTGGGTCAGTGAGCAGAGGAACACTGTGCCCCTGGTGGTCAGGAGGGGTGGTGGCAGGAATTCCAAAGCAGAGAAGAACCAGCAATGATGAGGTTGGGGAATGAGGATCCAGGCAGAGTCAGGGCCTGGTCCTTTCCTGCCTGAGCATGGAAAAAAGACCATTTGCATGCAGAGTCTTTACTGAAAATTGGGGAAAGCCTCATCACACTACCCACAACCCTGATCCACACTTATTATTGCATGTTGTTGCTAGGTGCCATAGAGTCGATTCCAACTCATGGCCACCCCATGTGACAGAGAAGAACTTCCCCACAGTGTTTCCTAGGCTATAATCTTTATGGCAGCAGATCACCAGGTCTTTCTCCTGCAGAGTCACTGGGTAGGTTTGAACTACCGACCTTTTGGTTAGTAATCAAGTGCTTAACCATTGTCCCACCAAGGCTCCTTTATTCTTGCATAGGGCTGTGGAAATGATCAATTGTTGAAAATATTAGAGATGAGCATGTGGGAACCTCCAAGCAAAATTCGTGGTGAAGCTTCAAGGTTTATAGAGCTAGGATGCTGGGAGAAGCTGTGACTTTAAGTGGGGCAGCCCCGGGGGCCAGGCTTGCTCCTGGCCTCTGTGGATGACTGACTGGTGAGTGATTGTGTCCTCAACGCTGTCCCAGCAACTGGTCTGACTGTTCTTTCCCCTTCTGGAGACCTCTTCCCTTTCCACACAATGACTGGGTTTTCTGAAAGCAACCACTTGGAATCAGGTATGGATTTACCTAATAAGCAAGGTACACATGGGCTTACTTGTGCTTACTTACTAACCTGTAGTACACAATATCAGCTGTTTGTCACCACACCTTTGATCCATGTGAAATTGTGCACTACTATACCTTTAGTGTACCACTCTCAGTTTGGGGGTGGTGGTGGTGGTGGTGGTGGTGGGGTATGTGTGTGTGTGTGTGTGTGTGTGTGTGTGTGTATGTTAGGCATCCTTTCATTCATGCCCCAAACACCTCAGGGGTTGCTTGAAAGGAGGTATGCCTCTATGTCTTCCACGTATTTATGCCTAATTCTGCTTCAGGATCTCTTCCTTCCACAGCATCCATTGATTCCTTCTCGTGATAGCCCCATCCAGGCCTTTCTTCCACCAGTTTTCTATTTCATCAGTAAGTTTCAGGGTTAAGCACCTTCCCCCAATATTTACAAAGCCCAGGCAAGTTGGGTTGCTGGTGTGATGCTATCAGGGACAGTCTTATCTAGCTACAAAGTGTGAATCAGTGATTACACCACACAGGGCTGGTGCCAGCCAGGCAGGTTGCCATATTGCCAAGTAACCCAGTGGTTGAACCAGGTTGAGTTGAGTACTATCCAACAATGGGAAGTGAGTTCATTAATCATGCAGCATAGTACCCTGCTGACTAAAGTGTAACCCTGAAGGCCTGGTTTGATTGGAGAAGGTGTAGGTGGGGCTGGATGCTAACTATGAAGACACCCAGTGATGCTATCTTCCTCTGATAATATTCACTTGAAAAAACACATATAAATCTGGAAGGAAACATCTAGCTTACCAAGAGATGGATTATGTGTTCAATCAGCCACCTTGGATTCCCTTTGTTAAAAACAATACCTTGTGACTATACATAAAACAGTGATTTGGAATTTTAGAAGTGTCATGAAGTAAGGGAAGGGAATTCAAGACGGCAACCAGTGACCTAGACTTGTGTAGTTGTGAAAATTTAAAATTCCATACTACATTCTCTTTACTTATCTCTCATTTCAAAAATATTCTGTTCTAAGGCCACAGCCCACCTCTTCCACCCAAGTCTGGCCTCAACTTCTCGGTAATTACAGCCAACCAGAAATACTACCCATATTTTTTACTGTGATGGGCCTGGATTGGGGCAGCAAAAGCAGTTTTTGAGCAGGGATGCTACACTTCATTTCTGTTGCTTTATGGCTGGCCTGGTCAGTACCTAAGAGAATGAGACAATCTCCACCAGTCACACTATGGTGCAACATTGACATAGCTCAGCATCATGCACCAAGCCCCTGATCTTTGGTGAGGCAGATAATAAGTAACATGCACAGCAGAGAAGCCCAAGTGAGTTTTTTGAAGGCAGGTAGGAAGAAAGGGAGGGAGGGAAGACTAACTTGTCTAAAAGACTGCCCTAGAAGAAGCCTCACAGGGATAAAGGATTCTAAAGACTATGAGGAATAAGGTAAGGGGAGCAGGATAGAGATGTGGGCACAAGGAGGAAGTGGAGGCATGTATTTCTTCTAGAGAAATAGAGAAAACTCTAAGGCTAGCAAATAAACTCAGTTAAGAACATGAAGGTTTTTTGGGGAAGGAAGCTCATAGGGTGGGAGAAGCATTGCTTTTATAGGAGATAGCAGTCATAAGATGGAGGGGTTGATGCTACATAAAACATTCCCCATGTGTTCTCCAAATCCCAAATGTTCTTTCTTCCCTTAAAAGCATCTGATCCCTGGATAGTTTATAAGAGTGATTTTTTTTGGGGGGGTGAGGGGGCAGGACCACCTTTACTAAGCAGCCATAAATAAGCCTGGGGAATCCTGTCTAAGTGGGATTGAAGTTGTAGAACTTTAAAATCTGATTTTTCCCAATTATCTGACCTCAGAATAGCTTTTTATCTCTCCAGTGAGCTTGCCAACCCTGAAGAACCCCTCTCAAGTCTCCACTTGTTTTTGGGCTTCAAAAGCTTTAGCAAGAAAACTACTCAGTATGGCCATAGAGACCCTCCAGGGTCCTGTTCTGGTGCTTTCTATGACCATCAGAGCAATAGTTCATAAACCAAGAGATCCCCTCCCTTCTACCCCCAAATACCCATTGGAAACCAGAGAGAAGGGTTCTAGAAGATTCCAGTTACCAGTCCTGACTCCCATCAGTTTATCTAATCTGTCCACCTAACCTCTGGCGGTTTGAGGCTCCCAAAAGGATGAAGGTGAAACCTATTCTCCTAGAAGCACATTCAACACTCAAAACTGGATTTGTAAACACCAGAACCTGCACAAAATTCTGAGCAACTTCTAATAGCATCAAGTTCCACATTTCTATTTTTGAGAGTTTTCAGAGCAAGAAGGGCAAAATCAGGCATAAGAACCTCTCAAACAAACCAACAGCCAAAAGCAAAACAAGTCAAAAAAACAGGTCAGACAAAAACTTTACGCTAGGACAACAAGAAATAAAATAAGGAGATTTATAGGCCGGCTGATTGTCAGCAAACACAATATATTTACTGTATTAGCATTTGCTCACAGTGCAAATGGTACAACATTACACCATTTCACTATTTCAGTTTTTAAAAATGCTGTTTTCATTAACTATATTATATTGGCATAACAATGTGACAAAGGAGCAAATGAAATGTTGGTGAAGAATTTCACCTTTTCACAATATCAAGCATATTTTTTTAACCTTAGTATAAGGTACTGTAAATCCAAGAAATAAAAACATCCACAAAATATATTACATCTGGTTTGTCTTTTTCTAAGTACTCAACTTTATACAAAAGTCTTTCAAAAAATATCATTCCCCGTAGGTTTTCCTGTTTAAAACCTGATTTTTTTTCTCTCAGTTCACGTAAGTTAGAGTGCATTTTCTTTTGTTGTTTTTTTAAAACATGCAGACATATAAAAAATCTGGATAGCACAACCTTTTGGCAACAAAGTTATTTTTCTCTTAGTTTAGATTAATTGTCTGAGAACAGTCTTATTAAAACAAAGGAAAACTCAGAGCTATCATGCAGTGACATGCATATACCAGAAGGAGCAAGGAAAAAATATTAAAGGATATCTGATTCCTCCTTCCAGCTTTGAAGTGACCAAAATTTTTGTTTTTAATAATCATCACATTATAAAAAGTATTCAGCAAAATACTGTCTCTGCAAAGAAAGGTTTTACCCTTCAGCTGAAAAAATATGGGCCCTCCTGGCAAACTTCATCTCCTTCTCTCTCCTACAAAAATTCCAAGTACCTGGAAATTCACAACCCCCCACTCTTTGATTTTTTTGCTTTCACTAGAGTCCTTTTAGTATTATTTAATCCACCACCAAAAAGGAAAAAAAAACAAAAAAACAAAAACGGTTTTTTTCTTAAAAAAAAAAAAGTGGGAAACGCATAAAGTGACTTTAAAAACAGACATTCTGTAAACTCCAGACCTTTGTTCCTTCTCTCTGGGCAGCTTACTGACCCCAGGAGAAATGACGCTAATAGGGAACAGTACATTCAGTCAAGACTGTGCTGGAAGCTGTGTCAAAGAGCAACCTTCCCTACTACTCCACTTTAAAAGAATCACCCCCGTAAGAAGGGTTGGACAGGACAGCTGGGGAGGAGGGGGTGCCTGAGAAGAGGTGAGGTAGGGCGGGGAGAAGGTGAGACTGGGATATCGAAAAGCAATGCCTCATTCATCAACATAGATTAATGCAAAAATCCCCACATCTCTGAGGAAAATTTGGAGATATATATGTATATGTATATACATACATACACACACACATATACACATAGATATAATCTCATCAGTTAAAATTTTCATTAAAAAATAAATCATCTAAAGCTGTATATGCCTACAAATTCTCTTTATTCCGGTGCACTGCACTGGAGAACCAAGTACCTTAGAGATCTGATTTTGTTGGGAATACATATTATGTGTGTATGTGTCATATATATGCATATATATGACACATATACACACACATACATGCACACCATATGTATATTTAAATTCTGTCTGACAAATGGCAAAAACAGAGCCAACTTTCCCATCAATGGTGGGAAGGAGAAATGGGTACGTTGAGTGAGAGGAAACAAAAAGATGGTGAAATGGGGTGGCTGGTTGAGGCCTGCCTTTCTGGGAAAGATTTAGAAACAGATGGGAGAGGGTTTAAAGCGGAGAACGGAGAAAAGGGTGAAGGTAGAGGGCAAACTCTGAGGAATTATATTTTTTAAAAGGCCGGCTCAGTGATGGCCGCTCCTTCTCCCCGAAGATCAAACTGCCCTGAGGCCTAAGAGAGAAGCACTCGGAAAAGAGAAGGGTTCTGAGGGGCCAACCCAGAAGCCGCGGCAGCAGCGGCACCGCGGTGGCGGCATCCGAGGCATTTCTGTAAGAAACATTATTTCCGAGCAGATGGAAGACCATCCCGTCCAGCCACGTGCAGGCGCCCAGCCTGGGACAGACCCCAGCGGCTTGGGGACCCAATGTGGGGAAGAGTTTGGGGTGGACACAAGCCAGTTCAGCTCAAGAGTCTACGCGAGCGCGCGCGGACACACACATACACACACACACATATACACACACGCGAGCACGCACACACTCGCGCGCAACCCCGCACGCAGACGCGCGTGCGTGCGGCAGGCAGCAAGCTCTGCCTGCGCTTTGGTGCGCTCCTTACCCCCTCCCCTCCTCTGGCCTTCGAGGGGGAACAGAGGGAGACTAGGGGAACTGCGAGGTGCTAGAGTAGGGCGAGGGTTGACCGGACCCGCCCTCAGTTACCCTCAGGTCCTTGGCGCGGCCCAGCGGCCCCTGGATCAAGGCGATCCGAACTGAACAAAGCAGGCTAGACGCCACCTTTCAGCCCCCACGCCTTGGCTAAGGGGGGCAGCGAGGGGAAGGCGCCTCTTGCTCTGGCCCCCGACCGTTGGCCGGTGTGAAAGGGTGGGAACGGGGGGGGGCATCGAAAAGGAGCAAGGGACCGCACGTCCATGGAGAGGCCAAGGTGCGGCCCCTGAGCCTCCGTGGCCGGCTTTCCCGCTGCTGTCAGGCGAGCAGTCGGGAGGCACTGGAGGGAAAAAGTGGGGATCTGGGGGCTCGAGCCTCAGGCGCAGGTGGTGACCACGGGAGCCAGGGACACTGGGGGCGCCGAAGACGCAGAGGGCGCACCTCCCTTCTCTGCCTTTTTCTCCTTTTGCTTGAGGTGGATTTTGGCGTGGCGTTTACGCTCGTCGCTACGCGCAAACTTGCGCCCGCAGAATTCGCAGGCAAAGGGCTTCTCGCCGGTATGCGTGCGGATATGAGTGGTGAGGTGGTCGCTGCGGCTGAAGCTCCGCATGCAGATCCGGCACTGAAAGGGCTTGTGACCCGTGTGGATGCGCAGGTGCCGGGTCAGCTCGTCCGAGCGGCTGAAACGGCGGTCGCAACCCTCCGCTGGGCACGCGTGAGGCCGCTCGTGGAGCGGGGTCTTGCTAGGCCGGTTAGGGTACTTGCGGGGTCGGATGGGTTTGAGCGTGAGCGGCGGCTGGGGCAGGCTGCCGAAACCCGGATGAATCTGCTTGTCTTTGAACGCCTTGATGGTCTCCAAGGGGGTAATAGGGGGCGGGTTGACCCGGATGGGGTCCATGCCCTGGAAGGGCTTGTGCTCCGGAATGGAGCCCATGTCGTTGGGGTGGTGGTACAGGTTGTAGTCAGGAATCATGGGGAAAAGGTTGCTGTCCAAGGCCGGCTTGGCCGATTGGTAATCCTGGGGGGAATAGGCGAGCCCGGGGTTGCCCTGAGGGTCGTGGAAAGACACGGGCTCCGAGTAGAGATCGCTGCAGTTGGAATAGGGGGGCAGCGCCGGATACATGGCCTCCACGTCGCCCTGAGGCGGCTGCACCATGCTGGCCGTAGACGTCTGCGTGCTTAGCGCCCCTGAGGCCGGGGGCACCCCCAAGATGCCAGCGCTCATGAGGCTAATGATGTTGTCCTGGCACCAGTTAGAAGGGGAGTCGAAGGCGAACTTTCCCAAGTAGGTCACGGTCTTATTGCCGGGGGCTGGCTGGAAGGAGCCCGAGTAAGAGAGTTCCGGGTTGGGCTTCTCGTTGGGCAGACCGATGTCCATCACATTCTCTGCGGAGAGCGGGGGGAGAGAGGGGAGGAGTGAGTGAAGCCGAGCCGGCTCGGGGCCGGAGCGCCCAGGTCCTCGCCCAGGTGCAGAGGCTGCGGCGGGGTGGAGTGCGAAGCGCACGGGGTAGGAAGAACGCTGCGCCGGGCGCAAAGCGGGCGGTGCCGCGCTCCCGGGTGCAACCTGGATACAGCAAAATACTACGGATCGGGGTGTGGAGTGGCTGCGGCACACACACCGCCGCACACGCCGCGCACACACGTACCACACACAAACACAAGCACACATGCGCGCGCGCGCGCGCGCTCGCGAGTAGCATTGTTGTTCTTCCCGAGGTGGGGCAGGCAGGTAGCTTCAGCTACAGGTAGTTTCAGACCCGGAGCGCGCCCGGCTCTCTGTCTCTAGCTCACAAAACTCGGCCGCTTTCCCCGGCCCTGGCAGCTCCCGGACGCCGCGCCTTTTCCCGCCCCGCCGAAGCCCCTAAGCGCCCTGCACCCGGGTCGGCGACCCAGAGCGCTCCGACGCTTTGTCTTCCGCGCATAGAGGAGTGCCGCCGGCAAAGGGAGCTCTCCCGCCGCCTCCCCCGGCCCCAGCCTTCTCCCGGCCTGAAGGGGCTTTTGGCTCTCGCTGGAGAGGGAAAGCCTAGACCCAGCTAGGGAGAATGTGGCGCGGCAGAAGACCGGCCGGTGTCTCCAAGGCTGCCGCCTTTCCCAGGATCGTCCCTGCCCACCCCCCGTGACAGCCCTCCCCGCAGGTGGGCCACCTCCCTCTCCCCGCCGTCCCCACACCCCCATGGCTTTGCTGAACGCCCTGGAAAGGCAGCGTCGCAGTACCTCTCCCACCGCGGGGACTCCACGCAGCACATGGCTCCATCCCGGGTGGGAGGCTGAGGGAGTAAGGGGAAGAGCGCGGGTGAAAAAGACGCTGGGCTCCTCCCGGGAGAGGGGGCGACAGCACCACGCCTTGCGCGCGGCCCAGCGATCAGGCCCCCTGCGTGGGGAGGGAGAACCCCTGAGCCACTCGCACCTACCTCCCTCTGGTCGGCGGCTGCCCCCACCCAGGGGAACCGAAGCCTCTACCGTGGCGTCGCCAAGAGAGCCTTCCCGATCCGGGAGGGCGGGAGGAGTGGGTGGGAAAAGCAACTCGCCCCCCGGAAAATTCCCAGCGCGCCCCAGTCTCTCCATGCATCCATCCATCCATCCATCCATCCATCGACCCATCTATCGCTAGCTCGTTTTCTCCTCCTCTTCCCTTCTCTCTCCGCTTCCTTCCTCGCCGCCAGGCCGCCTCCCAGCCGCCCTTACCTGTAGCCATCTGATTGTAATGGGCCACCGAGTCGCTGCTGCCGGAGAAGAGATTGAGCGCGCTGGGGATCTCCTCGGGATACAGATTGTCAGGCAGTTGATTTAGCAAACTGCTCATGGTCACCGGCAGCTTCTCGGCGAGTTTGCCGGTCATAGCACTCCGGAGCTGCCGCCGCCGCCGCCACCGCTGCCGCTTGCTCCTAGCGCAGCTTCCAGGCAAGCGGCATCCGAGAGGCGATCCGTGGTGCAGGGGAAAAGCATGCGAGAGGAAAAGTTCGGAGGGAGGGGGGAAGGAAGAGGGGAAGGCGTGGGCCAGGGG